CCCCCGGGCCCCGCCGAGGGCAGCCGGGTGCCGCGGCCCACGCGTGCCCCTGTCCCGCAGGCTCCGTGACGGAGGTCAAGACGGACATCTACGTGACCAGCTTCGGGCCCGTGTCCGACGTGGAGATGGTAAGGGCCCCCCGCGCTCCTTTCCCGGGATTCATTACGGTGGCATCTGAGTTGACCGTCATTAGAGCAGATTAAGAGGCTTAATCTCCCTGACAATCTCTGGGGCCCGGCAGAGCGCTTTGGCCGGGAGCTGCATACAGCTATTTCCCCTGCGGAGTCACCCCGGGGCAGCGCGGCGGCTGCCCCGGCCCCGCACGGAAGCCTCTTTAGCCTCGTTAAGAAGGTTGCTCGGGTGGGTGCTGGAGCCTCCCTAGCCCAGCTAAGGTCAGCGCTGAGGCAGTTTTACCACTTTGCTGCTGGAAATGGCCTTTGGTCTCTTGTTCTGCCCCTCTACTGCAGTGTGCTCTGCAGGCTGCAGGCAAAAAAGTGAATGCCCTAAGATGGTACCCAAAAGTTTGTCCATCTCCCACTCTCAGAAAGCCTTGGAGATGGCACTACCTCACACATGTATCAGTCCAACAACATCACTGCTGCTGCCAAGATTTAACTGCGTTTCCCTTCCACCACCCCAGTAGTGCACTGCTCTGCATGCTCAGGACAATAGTACCAAACATCCCTACGAAAAAAAGCTTAGCCTAATATTAACAGGGCCCCATAATCATACTGAAATGGATGTTTTAGACCTTCAGAACATTTTCCTGGTGAACATATAAAGCAAGCTGTCTAATAGTATGGCTTTTTTTTTTTTTTTTTTTTCCCTCTGGCAACCAAACATTAATAGTTTACTTTAGCACACAGAAAGGGAACCGAGACATTTATATTTCCTTAAATCTCAGTCATGTGAATTAAATTATTTTCTCTGAGAGGACAATGAATACATATAAATTTATCTGCTCATTGGTTAATTTGCAACTATTCATTAAAACAAGAAAATGAGTTTTTTTTTTTTAATAGACTGGACTTTTTTTTCTTCTTTTTTTTTTTTTAGTAACTACTTAATGATAATAGGATTAAGTGTATAAGTAGTAAATGAAATGCCATTAATGCGTATTAGGGTCTCCCATGGAGTTACTGTATACGCAGCAGCTCAGGACTGCTGGCCCATACACAAGTCACCTATTTGCTTTCCACAGGAATACACAATGGACGTTTTCTTTCGTCAGACATGGACTGATGAGAGGTTGAAATTTGGTGGGCCAACTGAAATCCTGAGATTGAACAATTTAATGGTCAGTAAAATCTGGACACCAGACACCTTTTTCAGAAATGGAAAGAAGTCAATTGCTCATAATATGACTACACCTAACAAACTTTTCAGAATTATGCAGAATGGAACTATTCTTTACACAATGAGGTAAGAGCCCTCTGCTTTTGGTTGACATTTGTTTTTCCCATATTCAACAGTATTCCTGAGTACCATTTCTTTTTCAATGCCGTCTGCTTTAATGTATCCTAGACTTACCATTAATGCTGATTGTCCTATGCGGTTGGTGAACTTCCCAATGGATGGGCATGCTTGTCCTTTGAAGTTTGGAAGCTGTAAGTTTTTCTATATAATTCAGCTTTATATAGTAAATATATCTGGTCTGCACATATGCAACAAGATTAGAAGTGAAATGCCAGGACATTACTTAATGGCATAGCTAAATTTTTTACTATATTTTTGTATTAAAAACTTACTCCCCTGAGACTCAAACCTTACACAGGCATTTGGATTCAATCACTGCAGGTGACTTAACAGGATGTTTTCTGGTTTGTTATTCTTATGGAACTGCTAATGTGTCTTTAACAAGTCTTGCAAGCTGTGGTAGTTATTACAACATTACTCTTAGTTTTACAAAATAAAAAAAATTAGTTGATCCATTGTAATCAATGTATGTGTTTTGTAACAATTAAAAAGCAAAAGCCAGTACCTAATGGTTGCCACCCCAACCATTGCTTCGCTATTGATTTTTTGCATTTTGTCATTAATGAGATTAGAAACTTATTGGAGTAAGATCCATTTGTCTATGGTTATTTGAACAATAGAAACCTTTGTGTAACTCATTCTGTCAATCGCTAAAGAATTATGTAGTCAGTTACAGTATTTTTTTTCCCTCCATAATACAGATGCCTACCCAAAAAGTGAAATAATTTATACATGGAAAAAAGGACCCCTCTATTCAGTAGAAGTACCCCAAGAATCTTCCAGTCTCCTCCAGTACGACCTCATAGGACAAACTGTATCCAGTGAAACAATTAAATCTAACACAGGTAAGGTGTGACCACATAGAAACTACTGACATTATAAAATACATCTTAAAAGATAAATGTCAATTATTTTTCAAAAGGAACTGTTTTGTTTTCTTTCGTGAGTTTTAAAACTAAAATTTTAAGAATCTAATTATCATCTCTCAAAAGATAATTTTACAACTTTTTGTGCAACTCTTTCGAATCTCTAACTTGCAGGTAATTCAGTAGACTTTTCCTTTGTTTCAGAGAGGTCACTTTAATTTTTGTTATCAGTTTATTGTTTATACAACAAAAAACCTACTAGTGCTTTCTTCAGAAAATAGCATATATTGTATTTTAGGGTGCAGCATGGTTTAAGCCTATGATGTTTACTCATATTTTGCAAAAATAATGCTGACATAGTTGTTTCCTAACAGGTGAATACGTAATCATGACAGTTTATTTCCACTTGCAAAGGAAGATGGGCTACTTCATGATACAGATATATACTCCTTGCATTATGACAGTCATTCTTTCTCAGGTGTCTTTCTGGATTAACAAGGAGTCTGTTCCAGCCAGAACAGTTTTTGGTATGCTGCATTAAGGTCTTTGCAACAGCTTTGCTTCACACATACCATTCATTCATCGCTTTCATTGCTTGTTTGTTTTAGGTGAATATTCACTTCAGCTGCTCTATTTCCACCTCCAAAGGAAAATAGGCTACTATCTCATTCAGACATACATTCCATGCATCATGACTGTTGTCCTGTCTCAGATTGTGTTCTGGATCAACAAAGAATCTGTTCCAGCAAGAACTGTGGCTGGTATTCATGTCTTTGTTCTTCTCTCATTCACTGCATTCACTGTATTGAATACACTGGGTTGAACAGCTACTGTAATCCAATGAGGATTAGCTTTAAATTGGTAAACTGGTAGGTTTCAGTAAATACTAAAATTCAGTGAATACTAAAATTCAACCAAGTAGTTTTTCTTGTTTGTTTGTTTTTGTTTTTTTTTTTCTTCTTCTTCTTCTCGTGGTTGGAATTAATGCTCAGCACTAGCTGTGAAGCTGAGTGTTTTGTTTCCCATTTTTAGTGAGTGCTCTGCTATTATTAAAGCTAGCTTCCACATCCATTTCGGTATTGACAAACTCTAAAACTGCTCTTAGAGTCAAGGGCTAAGCTTTCATTGACTGGATTTTGCTTTTAGAAAAAAAAAACATAGAAGAAATTAAGCAGAAATAACAAAGCTTGTGTAAAACTATCTTAAAATTTCCAGGCCCATTTTTCTATTTTCCCTTAACCCAATATTCCTATACAACCCATTCCTATTGTGAGACTTGTCTTTAGTAGCAAATATGCAGTTGTATGTTCCCAGAGAGTGACTGAGCGCTGGAATGGGTTGCCTAGGGAGGATGTAGAGTCTCCTTCCTTGGAGATACTCTGCCTGGACACAGTCCTGGCAACATGCTCTAGGTGAACCTGGTTGAGCAAGGGGGATGGACTAGGTGATATCCAGAGGTCCCCTCCAAACTTAACCTGTTGGTGATTCTGTCATTCCCGCTCCATAAATTATGTATATCACAATTTAAAATAAATTTATAATTATAGTTAGCAACATACAGAAGTTTGTCAAAAGTTGTTTCAGTAAAGTGGTGTTTCATGTTCGCATGCAACAGTATTCATAGAAGCATTATGAGACTGTATTGTTCCAAATATGCGATCCATCTTTTAGGAATGGTAAGTGAAGACAACATCCTCAGTTGCCTCTGAAGGAATATCAGTACCCTTCTTTTTTTGAAATCCCAATCTTAATCGGGGTGCAACTGAGCAGCATTAAATAATTGCAAACCCAACATTAGGTATTCATCAATTGGGATTTCCCCCTTTTTTTTTTAAAGTTCTTACTTAAAAAAAAAGATGCTAACTGTTACTGAAACATAAAATATATAACAGGAAGTTTGTATTACCCGATGCAGCTTTGCCTCAGGTGGGAAGAGAAAGCCAATTCCGTGTTTAAAGTAATGTGCAAATAAGTCTTTGGATGATTCAGTAATAATTACATAAAGACCCTGAATCTTGAAATAATGACTCTTACATGTCATATTGAATAACAGAAATAGAATTAGCAAAAGAACATATTTTAAGAAAAATAGTAAAATAGTCGCCTTTCTCAGTATTGCAAAAATTAGTCATTCTGGCATTTTAAAAGAATATTTCAATCCTTAACACATTCTTATTTCTCTCAGGCTCAGCCTGACTGTATAGTCCTAACTAATTCAGAACTTCACAACATCCTGGTCTTCAAATACCTTCAGTCTGAGGGGAGAGAAAAAAAAAAGCCAATTCTTTATGTCAAAAAAAAAAAAAAGAAAAAAAAGATTTCTGGACCCGGTAAGAAAGGAAAGCTTTAAAACAGAGAAATGTTCTTGCTGCATCATATGGCAAATACTTATATTACAACAGTTTTTCAATTTTGCATCTAAGCTGCCTTCATTCTGTTCTAGGATAAATCAGTGGTAGATGAATAACAACAGTGTACCCAAACCAATTTCTCACACCAAAGTCAATGCAGCAACTCCATTTTCCTTAAAAAGAGGTGCCAATTATCTTTTGCAGATAGTGTCACAATAAATACTCTAAAACTTTTGCGAAGACAGATTAATGGTTATAAGGATCTGTTCTTCCCAGACCTTTAAGTAAAATGTGGGAGACAGAAATACCTGAAAATACACACCTGTGCTCTTTGAAATTGTGTCACTGAAAAACTTCTGCACATATGTGCATTTATCACACCTTACAAAACATGACATTATCAGAACCAGTTTAGAATAAGAAACATGGTTCTCTGAGGCCTTATTTTTAAGTATTACTTGCTATGTGTCAAGTGCTTTGAACTACATAACAATGGCTGTTATTTCAGGTATTTGTTTGTGTTGATTTGATCTCTCCGTTTTGGCAGAAAAATCCTCCATTATTTTTGTAGAGGAACACGGTCATCTTCTACCTTTCTATCAGGTCACTTTGGGAATTTTAAATTATCATCTATTCATTAAACTGTGTTTATAATAAAGTCTCAGATACAGATCTTTTCTTTTTAAGATACTTAATATAAATACTGAGGTCTATATTAACAGATCTTTCAGACCCTAACAAGAAGTATTCAAAGTAGCTAGGCAAAGGTGAACAATCACCACTCAAACAATTTACTAAGTGTAGTTTGGCAATGTCTTGAACAGCTTTCCATAGTCCAGAGCATTAGATCAATATTCATGCCACATTAATGGGAGTCTCATCTATATCTC